TGAATATCAAACCCAGTGACTTGAAAACATTCTAGACACATGTGCGTGTATACCCAGAATCCCGAGAGAAGAATGGAGAAGGGATTACAGCATAGCCATTCCTCCTGAAGGGTGACTTCTCACTTTCTCTCTCTCCCCTTCTCCCTGCTCTCCTCCAACCCGCAAGTGCACACACCTATGACTAAATAAATAAATAAATTCATAATCTAGTCACTTCCCACTCCTCTTTGTTCACACCCCAGGCAAAGCAACCAAGACCTCTAGCCCGGAATAATGCACTGGTTTCCTACAGTTTCCCCTGCGTTCTCACTTGCCCCTCACCTCTCAAATTTATTCTTAGCACAGCAGCCAGTGATCCTTTCAAAAGATCAGGTGTACCAGGTCTCTGTTCTGCTTAGAGCTGTCTCGTAACTTCCACCTCAGCAAAGTAAGGATCCTTCTCACACCCTCCAGGCCTACATGAACTGGTCATGTCTCTGACCCCATCTCAGTTACTCCCCACTCCAGCCAGCCTTGGCCTCTTCTCTTCCTGGAACACACTGACATGCTGCCTGTGCACTATGCACCAGCACTGAGGGTTTCCCTGTCTGGAAGAACGTCCTCCATACATCCTAAGGACAACTCATATCCCTCAACTCTTCCCTGAAAGTTCACCTTGATGATGTCCATGTCGGCCATATAGTAAGCCATCTTCCCTCTCCACACATACGTACCCTCTGGATGACTTTACCCAGAGCACTTACCACTCTCTTTTAAAAACAAACCAATGGGACCAGCAGTTGGCGTAATGGCTATGTCGCTGGACTCCCACGTAGTCAACTGCGGTTTGTGTCCTGAACCCGGTGGCTTAAACTCAAGCCAGTTGCGTGTGTGTGCATGCCCAAGATCCCGAGAGGAGAATGGAGGAGAAGGGATTGTGGTGAGGCCATCCCTCCTGGGGGTGATTTCTCGCTTTCTGTCTCTCTATCTCTCTCTGTTTTTCTGGTAAGTGGACGCACCCTATAGCAAAAACCTCTCAGGAAAAAAAAAAATCCAAAAACGTTCATTTCTTCCCTGAGGCAGGCAGACAGACTGGCGCCCCAGCAGAGTCTTCACACCGTGATCCATTCCCGCCCTTTGCCAGCAAGGATTATGAGCACACATGCACATCTAGCATGTGTGGGGAGACCTAGAGATGTGAGTCAGGGACCTTCCACTGGCTTCAGCATTGCGGACCATTCTGTTACCACTGTGACTTCCGTGGCTAGCCACTTACCTCCTCCTAACATACACCTTCCTTTACTCTGCTTATGGTATACAGTCTGCCTTCCCAGTAGAGCGTGGTGCTCCACAAGCTGGCCATTCTCGTCTGTTCTTAGTGTTCAGACGTAAAAGCAGCATTTTATAGAGCCAGCATTCAGTAAATATGGAAAAGATGAATGACCAATGGAGAGTACCTCCCTATTCCAGAAGCAGCACAATTTTTTTTTTTTTTACTATTTTTTTTTTTGAGAGGTTTTTGCTATAGGGCGCGTGCACTCACCAGAAAGACAGAGACAGAGAGACAGAAAGCGAGAAATCACCCCCCAGAGGGGATGGCCATGCCGTAATCCCTTCTCCTCCATTCTCCTCTCAGGATCTTGGGGCACATATGCACACATGCCCGGCGTGAGTTTAAGCCACCAGGTCCGGGACTCGAACCACGGTTGACTACATGGGAGTGCAGTGACATAGCCATTACGCCAACTACTGGTCCCCAGAAGCAGCATCTTTATTAATGTAGACTAAATGCTGTTCTGTGACAGCAGCAGCACACATCCACTCACAGTGACTCGAGTGCTGCTCTCGCCTCCTGCACACTGCAGTGCACACCTGTGTTTCCCTTTCCAGAACAAATTATTCTAGGCTTATGGACTCTTATTTTCCAGCCAACTGTGAATCAAAATTAGACTCATCAAATCCATGAGTTCACATAGGAGCCAGCAGTAGGGTTACTAGAGCTAAGGGCAGGGGTGGAGTAGGAGAACAGAGGAGACAGAAAAGTAAAAGGAATTTATCAAAGGCAAGAAACTATGGAATCTGCTCTCAGTTCCAACATATGTTTCTTTAACCTGGAGAAAATACAGAAAGAACAATCCAGGAAACAGCCTTAGAAGGAGGGCAAGAGCTGGAGAGATCTGAAAGTTTGTCTTTTGATACCACAGAGACTTCTGGGTCCAGGGCCCACCATGGACCTTGTGGGGAAATGACAGGAAAAATTACTCCTGCTGCTGTCCAAGATGAGGGACACTAAGATGAGAATGAGACCAGAACTCTTGTACACAAGAACAAGAACCAGCCTAATCCTCTCTAGAAACAACAAAGGAAACACAAGAAAGGTAGGGGCTCAGGACTGGATCCTGGCCTGACCCTAAGCTGATCCAGCCACACCAGGTCCTTTCTCCTCAAGTCACGAATATGTTGCATCACTTAATCCTGTTCAGCACAGCTCGCATACTGGCATGGTTTCAATGGCATAGTTTACAAAAATAAAACAAGTAGAATGGCAATCAGGATACAACATATGTGATGTTCTTTGTTTAAGAGAATATGGTACTTCTTTTTTGAGAGATTTTTGCTATAGGGGAGTGTGCTCACCAGAGATAGAAAGTGAGAAATCACCCTCCTAAGGAGATGGCCATGCCACAGTCTCTTCTCTGTTCTCTTCTCAGGAATTTGGGCATGCATGTACATGCATCCAGTGAGAGTTTCAAGCCACCAGGTCCAGGACTCAAACCGTAGTCGGTGACGTGTGGGCGTCCAGCACCTTAATTGCTATGCCACGTGCTGGCCCCATATCCTTGATTTGATTATCACACACTACATGCATGCTTTGAAAAACTACATTGTCCCCCATGAGGTATAAAACAAATGTAACTAAATTATAAAAAATAAATCTATAACAGATATGTCTCATCTGCCCCACCCCCTAGTCCACTTTAGGCCTCCAGGATTTCTCCTTTATGAGTCATGAGAGATTCCTCAGAACCCTCAGCACTGTCACTCCCTGGGGGTTAACAAACCTGGTGAGAGCACACAAAAGATGTGGCCAGAAGAGGGATTATGGGTGGGTATCTCCCCATGGCTCTCATCTCCATAATCCAATAGGTCTCCGTGACCATTTCCCTGACCCTCACTCTCTAAAAACCCTCCTTTTTCACCTGTGGAAAGAAAATGTTCAACGGGAGGCCAGGGAGGAGGCAGGGCCATGAGGTCCTGGAAAACCAGTAGTTCTGGACCCCAGGAAGTTGCTGGAACAGGCTACAGACCCAGGGCACCATCAGGAGGCATAAGGGGAGATATGGGAACATTGGACCAGTAGAGAACAGTAGAGAACAGACCTTCCTCTCTGACCGCTGACTGGGGATCAGGTCCCTATCACTAGAATCATCAAGGTAAAAGTTTCTTGTTTATTTTCATGTATGCTTTTTTTTTTTAGAATTATTTTATTTAACTTTATTTATTATTACTATCATTGTTATTTTCCAGCTTTGATCAGAGAGAGAGAGAGAGGAAGTGAGAAAGCCAGCCACCAGGTCCGAGACTTGAACCATGGTCGGCCATGTGGGAGTCCAGCGCCCTTAACCACCATGCCACTTGCCAGCCCCTCATGTGTGCTTTAAAAGGGAACTCTTAGGACCTCTGGTGGGGTAACCGTGTGCAGATGGTGCCTCATAAGGAGCAGGGGGTGCAAACTCCTATTTGGGACTTGAAATCCCCTAATGGGATGAGAAAACCTTATAAGACCATATCACTTCCCTACCTGATCTCTCAATCTTCACAACTGCAATTATAGCCACAAGTATCACCCCAGGTCCAGTGAGAACCACGGCAACGATATTCTTGATGGACCAAGGAGGTGGCTCTGGGAAAAGAAAGGAAGGTGAGGGGCCCTGGCCCATATGCCTCGCCCCTACCCTTCTGAGAATGCCCAGAAGGGCTTCCCGCTTTACCCCCATTCCCTTCCTTACCCCATCTCAGGGTCAGGGGCTCAGGCAGCCCCTCGTGCTGCACGTGGCACGTGTATCTCTGCTCCTCTCCAGAAGGCACCACCACGGCCGCCCACTTCTGGAAGGTTCCGTCCCCTGCAGGCCTGGTCTCCACCAGCTCCATGTCCTGGGTCTGGTCCTCCCCATCCCGCTGCCAGGTCAGGGAGATCTCCGCAGGGTAGAAGCCCAGGGCCCAGCACCTCAGGGTGGCCTCAGGGTCAGAGGTGGGGTGGTGGGTCACGTGTGCCTTCGGGGGGTCTGAGAAGAAGGGTCAAAATTCGGGCAGTTTGCCATGAAGGACAGTCCAGCAACACTCGCTTATGGGACATCCTGAGTATGGACAAGACCGCTGGAATCAAGGGAGGGGGTGCAAAACTCAGACACCAGCCTGGACCTAGGGCTCTGAGATAAGCTATTCCTTGGAAAGCTGTAGAATCAGAGAAAGGCTAGAGTTGAACCCCAAGCTCTGAGGGAGAGTAAAGGGATTTCTGGTTCTGACCTGGGCGAGAGCCCAGTAACTCAGAAAAGCTGAGGTCAGATCTTAGGCGTTAAGAGGGGGGCAATGTGAGACCCATGGTGCATGGCGGCTGCCAGGGTCAACAGGAATTTCAGTTATTTCAAGCATGGTCTCCTCCCCTTATCCCTGGAGAGACTGGACCCTTCAGATGTTCTTGAGAGAAGGTGAGGCTTCTGAATTGTCACTTTGGTATGGGACTGAAAATCCAGGACTCCTCTCAATTAATGGGAAAGGGATTATCCTGGCTGGGTGTCCCTTTCCTTTCCTGGTGGAAGGCAAGGCTCAGCTGGAGAGATCTGGGAGGCGTTTGGCAGCCTCTTTTACCTGCGCGCTGCAGCGTCTCCTTCCCGTTTTCCAGGTGTATGCCCAGCCACTGCACGCACGTGCCTTCCAGGCAGGC